TACTACTACTACCCCACTACCACTACGACGACGACGACGACGACTACTACTACTACTACTACCACCACCACCTGGTTGGTACCACAGACATCCCCCGCAGCATGTGCAAACATCCGAACACTGCTGTCCCCTGCAGGCAGTTTATGGGCTGCAGGAATGTAGGACTGCAGGGGAAACTGCAAGCTGCACAGGAACGTGAAGGTCCCAGCTGCCCGAACCTGATTCCCCTTTAATGCAAAAAATGCATGGCCGGAAGTATTTCTTTACAGTGGCGGGAGGGGGGGGGGGGACTGCCTCAGTTGCCACCAGTCCGATGGCGATGAAGTCCGTGGATGGTGGAATCGGCCTGATGCAAAAAGCGAAATCTCCTGCAAACCGCTTTTGTCCGGTAGCCTCCAAAGGTGGAGCTGGTTTTCGCTCGCAACTTGAGACCATGCCTTCGGCAGAAGCCAATGCGCAGAAGTGTCGAATGATGCAAGCAAGCAGCCGCTTGACTGCACAGCCTTCCGGTATCTCACCTTAGGATAAAGTGGAAGGCTCGTGTTCCTTCAGTACTTGAAAAATCTGACCAACATGTGCTGATCATACTCAGGCTGAAAAGACACTGGATGGGGTAGAACTGCTTGAAGAAATGCTTCCAAGCCGGAATAGTCCTCGGACAGATGTTCGGCGGCCATGCAAAAGAAACAGGGCATCCCTGGGGTTTGGGCCCCTGAGTGAAACCAGCCACTCTCTTCTTGATCAAAAACCTCGAGCATACCAACCTCAGCACTCGAAATGTCGCAGGTATTCGCAGTTAGTTAGTGCACAAGTCAAACCAATTCGGATGCATGCAGACAGGAAGAAGCAGTTGTCTACCTAGCATCATTGAGAGTTTTTTGAACAGACCACCGCGTAGTGCCAAGGAGGCATTCGTTGCAACGAATACCCAGGAGCCGAGCCGCTGTTTCTAGGACGTTGCATACGGCCTGACTCCAAAGTCCCCAACATGTGCTGGCTTCTTGGTGCCGGCGACAGCGACATCGCCAAAACCTGTCAAAACACGCTGAATGCTTCTCGCTCCAACGCTCCCCTTTCTTTCCAGTGAGGGTGCAGCAAAGTCGTTGCTTCACTTGCGGGCCTCGTGAAAGAGTCGTAACTTGTAATTGCAGAAGCGCAGCACGAGGCTCCAATCACAAACGCCAAGTTTTCTTTAGGGCGGCACCTCGAATGTCGGGGTTCTGTCAAGGATTGTCTTGTCATGATGTGGTCATGCATGCGGCGCTGTTGAGGTACGATGCCTTAAAACATCCCTCCCACACCCCAGTCCTTCGTGCGAAGCTTCGTTGGCTTCCATATTGACAGCTTCCTCTCTGCCAGAGTGCCTGAGCCACCACAAGCTGTCTTGCCAAGTTGGCCTCCAAACAGAATGCCGGGAGTCGAGCCTTGCGTGTTCCATACTTCACCCTCAAATGTGGTTGCTCTTCGCATGCTTCTTGGACGATCTGCAACTGAAGCCTTTGGATATACCAGGCTTCTGGCGAAGTCTCCATGACACCTCTGGATCAGCGCACAGGCAACCATCCGGGCAATGCCAACCATCGTTCCCAGCACGGGCGATCTCTGAAGGGATCCGGCTGCCACTTGAAGCGGAAGCGGCCGCTGGGCAGCCACCTGGTGTCCTAGGTTGGAGTGCTGTTGAATCCATCTGCCATGGGTCTGGTGCAGTTCACCACTGGGGGCAGTACCCTCTGGCTCAGCTTGGCTGGTTCCTTGCCTTTCTTATCATTCTCCATGAATTGACTGAAGCAACGCGAAGAACATCGGCCAAGCTTTCGAAGCCGGTTGCCTGGTGGCTGTAGAACTGTCGGCATCGGGGGCCGGGACGAAAGTGGCAAGTCCATCCTGACATAAACAGACTCGGCTTCCAGACTCCCTGGGCTGCCGCGCAGTCCCGCCCTGGTCGCATGACAGACCTCGGCTCTCGGCTCTCAGAAACTGCGATTCGCAAAGCTCCCTGAGGCTCTGAGGGTGCTCACGCCGCAGGAACGCTTTCCCAGTCCTGATCGTCCAACTCCAGGGCGCCCTGCATCTCACGTGACCGCTGCATGTGCACGTTATCCTGTGCAGGCCTGTTGTCTGCCACAATTGCCATCCCGTGATGCCTTGAAGTCGTTCAGAGACAAGAGGCCGTCCCCGTCGGCATCCATCACCTGATCGCTGGGACATCCCCCATCTCGTGGATTCTCATAGAGGGCATCAAGCGATAGCTCCTGGAAGATTTTGGCAATGTGCTCTGCCCAGCGGGTGTTGTTCGCTACTGCCTGCATGCAGGCAGGCTCTAGTTAGTTGAACTCGGGTTTGCCGCCCGCGGCTAGCGCTTCATTAAGCTCTTCTCGCCTTTCGAAGACCAAGCCACTCCAAGCCCTTTGTCAGCTCTCTGTGGTCAATTGACCCACTCCGATCAGAGTCCTGCCAAATAGCTGCATGCTGTGGGTGAAACACCTCCTGATCTCCAGCGCAGTCCAGCTTCATGAATGCATCTGCAGGGGACAAGCGCCTCCCGCATTACAGAGCTTGCCATGCTCCGGTTGCGGCTTGCCACTGCTTGTACACGCTGAGGCTTGAGCATGCCAGCCAGCCTGAAAGACTGACATACCCATAAGGATCATAAGTCTCAACAGAACTCTGGTCTGCAACTCTGCATGCAGCATTCAGGTCCGCGCGCCCAGCTCAATCTTGATAGGAATGCGCGCACGGCAAGGTCATCCAGTCCATCTTGCCAGAGTTGACGAGATCAGTTTGAGGTGAAGCAGCACATCCAGTCAACAGGAATTTTCACTGTGGGTCACGCCGGTTTCTGCAAACACCTCGGTTCGCAGGGACTCGCGCACGCAGCGAGCAGCCGGCAAAGCAAGGCTCCTTCCTTGGCAAGCGGTAGCCTTAGATGACAACAGTTGGAAGGAGGATCCAGTGCATGTCACTTCATCGCAAACCACTGACATCCTCCTGAAATCTACTGCCATTACATCTTTACGCCGTGCTTGTTGGTGTGGCGCCTCTGAACCCAAACGTGCCGCACCCACCACTGCGCCCACCCGCATGCGGGCCGTATCTGCACACTGCTCGCCCTGTATGTCCTATGCCATATGCACGACCGGTCCAAGCATGCCGAAGCAATACGAAGCCGGCAGCTGGCAAATGCGGACAGGTTTTTGGTGGCCCCTGTTCTGGGCGCATGGACAAGTCTACGCGTCTTGGGAGAAGACTGCTGCCACGGGAGCTGTGACCGCCTCCTGGGCATCGCTCGAATCTTTGTCTTCTTTCCGACGTCACGCAGTCACGCAGCCAGTCCTACATGCGCGGATGTCCAGCCACCACGGAGCTCGCTTTGGCATGTCCGTACGCTGCAGGGAGCGCAGCAAGATGCTGAGCTCACGTGCCTCAGCCGTTGACAACCGATGAAAAACGTTTGAACATTGCCGAGTTCATGCATTGTTGAAGCTAGCGTCCTGGAAGTTTGCCGCTGAGTTGGTAAAACGAAGAACCTGCTCTGCCACCTTGTGCTTTCTGCTAGACAGACACGCCAGCAGGCAAACTCTCGGTGGGGACAAGAAAGCATGCCGTGCCTCAAGTTGATAACCAAGCTCAGCCGACCTGCAACGACTCCGTCTGCTCACAGTCGTGTCGCTACTGCCGACATCTGCCGACAGGTCGAAACAATAAACATTTCAGGAGCAACAAACAAACACAAGTTAGTACAGTGCCAGCAAGGCGTAAGAACACAGTGAATAAGAAAACCAGGGCTTCACAGCAAAAGACGTTGTTGAAACCAACCATGCGAGCATTGTGTTTGCAAGTGGGGGGGGGGTTCGAGTAGGCCAAACATAATCTCGCGCCGAGGCGTTTTAATACGAAACGGAAAACACAAAATGTCCAGAAACAAAACCAAAAAAATCGAAATAAATTAATTATGCGACCAATTCAGCAAGCTTGCACAAACGGCGGGTTAGGGGGGCGCCCCCCTCGTTTGAAAACACACCACTCGCATCGTGAATGGCGGGGTTTCAAAAAGACTCACATTGGCTTAAGGCAGCATTATCTCACTACCACCGTCTTCACTGCCGTCAGTGTCATCTTCATCTTCATGTCCATCATCATCGCCATCATCAGCATGTGTATGTAAGCATGCATGAATGCATGCATGTATATGCAATGGATGAGATCTAAACGTCTTCTAAACCCTAAACCCTAAGCCCGAGTGTGTCTGAATCCAAAATACTGAGCAGTTTATATGGGATGGTTGAGGACACCAGAATCACGACGGAGCCCCGGGACCTGGGAGCGCATGGTGAGTGGAGGGAGTTCAAGAAAAGACTCATATGTTTTCAGGCACGGCTTAAAACAGCGGGGGCCCCTCTATTTGCAAACACAATGCTCGCATGGTTGATTTCAAAAAAAATTCGTATGCTGTCAGGCAAGCTTGCACAAGCGCGGGGTGGGGCGCAGCCCCTCCTGCCTGCAAACATACTGCTCGCATGGTGAATGGCGGGGTTTCAATAAGACTCTTATTCTGCATGGTGGGCTTCAAAAACGACCCGGAGGCTGTTGAGCAAGCTTGCAGACGGCTTAAAACAGCGGGGGGGTTGGGGGTGCCCCTCCCCATTTGCAAATGGTTGGCTCCAAAAAAGAGACCGGGTCGCTGTGAGAGTGC